TTAACTTTCTCTTGTAGCAGTTCTCACCCTGGAGAATTTTCTCATAAGAAGTACTAAGTCCATTTCTGCCTATGACCAAAAAAATAAAAGTAAGAAAGACTAAGACCAGAAAATGTAAGACCTTGCTCCTAGCCTTGGCCCTACATCGTGCCCTTATTTGTCACCATTCCCTATTCCTACAGGAGAGACTACCAACCTTCATCAACTAATGGAAGTAATACAGTCACCTTTTTCATGAAAAATAAATGCCTGTTCTAACCCGTTACTATCTCCAGCTGTAGACGAAGGCTTCTTTGCCTTGACACTTTCTTAGCTTTGACCAATAAGAACTGACATTTTATTATACACATATCTAACATTCTCTGCCCTCCCATTATCCACTCCTTTGGCTGTGGTCAAATTCTTTCAAATTTTACCTCTTTAAAATGCATAAATAATCAAAGAAAATAACCCTTCAAATGATTACATTCACCATATATGATTTTCTTTTTTAGAAGATTATTAAAGCTTTGTGCAGTGGCTATATCATAACCAATGAGGTTTATCTGAGGTGCAATTATTGCTTATTAAAAATTATTAGAGTGGACTCACTGCTGTAACAATTCCAAAATCTTGCTAACAAAGTTCTTTTATTGGCCCTGTCACAACTTGGCCCAGCTTGGGAGAGGAGCCTGCTCTGCTCCATCCAGGTTGTCAGGGTCCGAGGCCCCATGTATTTAGTGATGCCACCACTTAACCGGGACCCCTTCTCTGGATCTTCTGTAGTCTGTCAGGCTCTGAGGGAAACAGTAAATCCTGAAGAAGGTAGAAAAGGAAATCACTCTTAATTATTTTGGCCCAGAGGCAATGCACCTCATTTCTGTTCACATTCCACTGGCATGAAATAATCATATAGCCCCATCTCATACAGAGGAGCTGGATATTATAAACTAGCAGGAAGATGATTATAACCTATAACCCAAGAAGAAGTAAAAAGAGAAATTGGTGAGACCTAGAGCTGTATTTCCCACAATAAGATAAGATGAGATTGGTGGGTGATCCATAAGTTTTGATTATATGTGTTAGCAGTTCACCTTTATCATGGATTTGGAAATATGTGGTTCCAGTTACTATTGCTGCAAAACAAAGTACCCAAGAATTTAACAACATAAAATAACCATTTTATTAAGCTCACGCATTGGGTCCCAAATTTAGAGAAGGCTCAAAGAGGTATAGCTAATTTCCTCTTCATA